AATAAATAGGGTTGGTGATAGGGGATGGAATCCCTTGAAACTAATTATGTTCATTGATATGTGGCACATCAAAAAGTAGACTGAACCTCACATATTTTGTACTTTTTTTGTTTTAGCATTATTTCTTTCTTGTATATTATACATATGATAATTCATTTCCACTTTATTGTGAAGAAATGTATTTTAAATTAATGATAAATTAGTATTTGTGCCATCATTGTCATTTAGAATTAACATAAAACTATGCAATGTTTTGTTGCCTTAAGCCTTACTGAATGCTTTAAGCTCCTTTATTTGAAAACAGTTATGAGTTTTGTTTTTGCTTCTTATTTCAAAGCTGGGTTGGTCATGTCATAGTAGGTAGCTTGCCAGGCATTGGTTTAGAAGAGAAGTTCTAAGGCACGTGTCATGATACTGCTGGACATCACCCTTTAAGGTGATAGGTGCTTTTTGAGAATGACAGTTTCATTATTTAGTTCAAAGGCCTTGCAATGCTAAGTGTTGCTGATTGACTTCCTTCCTTCTTATTAGTTAAGAGTCTCTGATCTGTCTGTTTAGTCCATGTGCATATAATGTTCTGTCAGGTTGAAAATACCAGTTACCAATACCTATTTTATATCTTTTGGCTAACTCCTAACTAAATGTTCAGCTTGAGACTAGTGTTAACATAATTTTATAACTTGCATTTTGCTTAAAAAATTATGGTTCAGTATTATGTATATAAACAACCTAACTTTTCTCGATTTTTCTTTTTAGCCTGAGCAAAACTCAAACTTTCTATAAAGAATGTGGCTACTTCAACTACATCCTTCGAGTGATTTCAGCACACAACAGTACAGTTTGGGTAAGTTTATTTTATTGAAGTGTCCAGTATCATTCTGATGTTTACAGTTAAATGTTGCTTTAGAACTTAATTTTATTTTACATATTTCACACATTTTTTCCCGGAATTCAGGCCATTTAGACTAGAAATATATTGAGCACACTATTTATGTACACTAAATATAATCAGTTTCTACCTTCATTGTTTAAAATTTTTATGCCAAAAAAAAAGCATAAATAGAAATGGTGGGTAAATGCTGTAACATGTACTACATCTTAAACAAAGTTGTCTATACTTAGAAAGAAAAAAATATTTTTCTAGTGACTTAGTTAAAAACTTCTAACTTTTATTTCTACAACATGATTAGCACTGATATATGTAAATAGTGCATTTTTCAAGATCATGAAAAGATTACATTTCAGTGGTGAAGAATGAAGTAAGTTACTGAACGAGAAGTTGTAGACAGTTTGACTAGGCAGTGAAAGATTTTAAGTTTTTTTGTTTTTTTCTTGGTAGAGAATTGTAGCTAGCTAAGTAGTAAATACCATATAAACATCTTAGATAGTAATATTTGATGTGTTGTTTGGGGTGGAAATTGTACACTCTGATATCCTTATTATGTTAACATTTTCTTTTAGATGAAAATTCTATTTCAGAATGAGTACTTCGTCTTTCTCTATTGAATTAATTCATAATTTGATAATATTTTTTCAACATGACTACTAAGGTGTTTAAGTGATGATAAAAATATCGGAGCGTGTTTCAGAAAGAGTATCGTATTAGTATATAATTGGTAGTTTTGTATCTCTCAATGCATAATTTTCATTCTAGAAAGTGGCTGTGTCTGACTGGTTAAACGTAGAAGCTAGCTGTGATGCTGCTGGAGAGGTTGTTGGGACAGTTTTATGTCAATTAATGAAAAATGTTGACACTCTGAAATACATATGTCACCGTCGATTTGTAAGTAATAAATTTGTAAGGGTTTTTGCACATGTTCAGTACATATTTCCTATCATATTACTCCAAAGATGTAGGGTAAGGGTTTTTGCACATGTTCAGTATATATTTCCTATCGAATTACTCTAAATATTCTTGATCTTTTTGCTCTGTCTGCATTTTAATAAAAGAACAACCTAGGTGTAGTTATCTGAATATAAACTAGGCTTCTTTAATTGGAGAAAATATTAATTATAATTCAGTGGTATATTGCTCCTTTGAATGTGTCTATTATGTGTGCATTATAGAGTTTGTAATTTGTTGACTGTATGATCTGTACAGTATAGAGTTTGTAATTGGTTGACTGTATGATGTAAAACTGATTAATCCTGGATAATATAGAATTGATAACTGGTCACTCTGTACAGTATAGAGTTTGTAATTGGTTGACTGTATGATGTAAAACTGATTAATCGTGGATAATATAGAATTGATAACTGGTCACTTCTGTACAGTATAGTTTGTAATTGGTTTACTGTATGATGTAAAACTGATTAATCCTGAATAATATAGAATTGATAACTGGTCACTCTGTGCAATGTAGAATTGATAACTGAGTGACATAGGACAGAATTTTTGGATGTGTAGTTCATGTAAAACTGATTAATCGTGGATAATATAGAATTGATAACTGGTCACTCTGTACAGTATAGTTTGTAATTGGTTTACTGTATGATGTAAAACTGATTAGTCCTGGATAATATAGAATTGATAACTGAGTGACATAGGACAAAATTTTTGGATGTGTAGTTCATGTTTTTTTAAAATTTCAGCCCATCTACAGGATTGAACTGGAGTGTCTTGAACCTAGAAAGTCTGATGACCAGCCAACACCAGCCAGCATAGATAATGGGAAAAATTCCACACATTCTTCTGTACAGGAAGAAGAAGAAGAAGAATTAATGAAGAATGCTAATGTAAGGGAGAGTACAAAGCCTGTTAATACAGATATTAGTAAAGAATGCTCAACTACTAAAAAGTCCTCAGATGATCAAGATGAAGTTGTGACCACTTCTTGTCAAACGAAACCTGAGTCGATTGACCAGGAGAAAGGCATCGACCATCCATGTAGTAGTCACACTTCAAAACAAACGGAAATGGTGGAAGAAAAAAATGAAGGAGGAGCTGAAGCACCAGTTATTTTGTCTACTTACAAGGAAATGTCTAATGTATATGGACTGGTGTTAAAAGACACCAATCTTGTAAGTGCCTGGAATTTACAAAGTGATTTTATTCAAGCTACATAACAGAAATAAACCAACCTTTTATTTTAGATACAGCATAGCAGCTCATAAAATAGCTCTGAGTTTTTCAAGTACAAACTTTTAGCTCATAATTCCATCATCTCTTGACTGATTTTAGATCTATTTACAGGTTTGGACTCAGGATGTCAAACCCTTTCAATGGATGTATTTGACCATGTTCAAGGTCTCGTAGATTAATTTACTTTAATCCTGCCTAAAAGAATTTCAAGTGCCACGACTATTGAGGATTCCCTCGTTTTCAAAAATCTTTAATGTATTTGAAATATTTTTAATTTCAATTGGATGCGACTTCATAAATTTACAAGTATTAATGATTTTATTGAGATTATAAATTAACTCAGAATATGAGTTAGTGTTGTAATGATAAGGTATAACATAATCATTTTGTTGATATTATAATGTTATTGAAAGTAACACAAAAATCGTGGCTCATTATCCAATTAAACTAAAGCCAATAGTTTTGTTACAGAATGATATTAGGTAAAAATCTAATATCGTATATGGATAAAAATGAAACAATTTATAAATGGTATATTTTACTAAAAGTCTTTCCTGTGAAATATTTATTAATATATAGACTATTATTTATAAAAAATAAAAGTTATTACCTGTAAACATATCTTAATAGAACAGAAAAAATTAAACTCCAATATTAAAAAATGGAAATGAATAAACATTTTTGTTACTCAGCACCAAAAATATTTAATTTACCTATAACTATAAAAAATTAAATTTAATATACTAGTATATTATTTTTATTTAACCAAACGTATATAGAAGATTTAGTTAAAGTAATAAAATGAATTATTATTTTTAAGTTAAATGTGACTAAATAATGTACTGAATAATTTTTATTAACCTGAATGATCTGAAAGCTCTTAGGTTATTTATAATTTAAAATTCAGATAGAAAATAAAATACAAGTTGGTCTTAAAATGCACTTAGTTCTTTGTGTTACAAGGACAAATAGGCTTAGTTATTTTTTTTTATATTGATATTGTTAGAGAATATTTCATTTTCTGTATTGGTATTTGTTGATTTAGTGGTTGAAAAATTAGATTGTTAAAAAGTTACATTTAGTACTGCTAACTATATCATTTGGAAACTTGTTTAGATATGTTTGAACTGTTTACAGGTAGTTGTAAAAACTCGGGTAAAGTTAATTTTTAAATGTGCAGTTTTATAAATTTAGGTCATAATTCTTAAAACCAAGGCCACAATTTTGAGAACTTGAATATAATAAATATTTAGTGTTTATTTATGACGGTTACTTACAAAATATTTGTCTTTCAAGAAATAACTCCAGAATATGCATTGTTCAACTCAATAAACTCGGCAAAAAGCTGGTAGTGTAACATATGTGATTCATTATGATATTGGTATGTAATTCACTGAAGCCTGTCAAAGAAATGTATGTAAATTTTTAAAACCATACATTTTTCTTGAATGACTGTTTAGCAAAGTATGAAGGACATACCCCATCAAGACTGCAAAAGGTTAATTCGTCCAGAAACGATGAATGTGACTTCTCTCAATCAGTATCCATTAACATCTGTAAACACAGTAAGTGCTAGAGCTCATCATGTTTTACATTTTAACCCTTTAATTACTGGTGAAGTCAGTATGGACTCTGTCAGCTTTTAAATGCATTTTTTCAAATTTTTTACACACCAAATTGCATTTGATCAACAGCTGTTTGTTAGAGAGTCTCTAATTATGTATGAGTCACACAAAAAACAGAAATAAGTGTAATGCCAATGTTGTAATTAATAACTTTATTTTTAAATCCATATTAAATATATATAAAGTTAAACATGAAGTTTAGGGTAATGAAAAATAAATTGCTGCTTAGTGTGTCTACTAATCGAGTTATTAAGCTATAAAGTGAAATAATGTATATCACTTTATACTGCATAACATCACTGTATTTTCACTTTATTACAGTAAATTGAAAAAACACCAATAACTGTTTGATATTTTAAACATTATAAAAGTACACCTTGTCACCCATACAGGGAAAACTCTCACTTTCTAATGTTTTAGTATGCTTTCTGAAGTATTTAAAAAAAAAAAATTACTGAAGAAACAATGTGTGCATTAATTAATTAAGAATTGGTTGTTGTGTCTGTGATGCTAAAAATAGTAAAATTACTTTACTTTTTCTTCTGTACTGACCTATCCAACCTAGATTTGTTACCATTAAAACCTGCTGTTGAAAACTAAAGTTTTTTAATTTTATGTTCCTTAAGAAAAAATATTTTGCAGCAATAATATGACCACTTTATTTCATTGTTATTAAAACTACATCTTTAATTTAAATATGTTTTAGATAGACTTCAGCTGCCAACTTTTTTCTTTGTGCTAATGTATGTTATCTTCCCTCGTGTCGGTATTCAACCCTAAACGTCCCTTACACCATGCGAGTGCTGTACCAACTAAAGGGTTAATGCACTAGCGGTTGCTAGTAAAGCTCTCTTTAATAACTCGTGCTACTACACCAGTGCATATTGCATAATCGTGTTGTTCTGTGGCACAATGTGAAGCACAGCAAGTCACCGTGCTAAGCAATTTGCATGTGAAGACTGAAATTTGATTTAACACAATTCTCACTTTTATATAGAAACTGGTGGGAATTTCTTTTAATCGTGATATGTCTTAAGTCAAATCTTACTATGAATTATCCTTAGGTTTTGTCATACAGTTTAAATAATTTTTCAGAAAATTAAAAATATTTAATTATGTCATAACGAATATCTGCATTTTTATTTGTTTTATATGACTTAAACGGCAAGTTTTTGCACATCTTTTTATCTAAAACAGTGAATCTAACATTCAAAGTTGTATAGGTACAGGATTGTAAGCATGTTTTTCTTAAATATGTTACTTTCAATAATTGTATAAAAGTACTGAATTGTGCCGTGGCATTATGCAGTTGCAGTAAAATGCTCCCAGAAAAGTAAGTAACATAATGTCAGTAAGATAATCACGTATTTTTACATGGTATTTGTGTTGTTGTATATATGTATGAAGTAAAACGTTGAATGTAAGATAATCACCTACGTATATTATAATTCTTAGAACTTACGAGTGAAAGTAAAGAATAATGCGTAACAATGCTTCATCCACAGTATATCTGCTAACCCAGTGCCAACGAGGCCTTTTGCAAAGACCAGGGCTCATTGGGCAAGCTAGGGTACAATGGACATAGTAATGGTTGAGGTGCTATTTCTAGTTCTTGTAATTATTCTTTTAATATATACCTCCAGTATATTAGTATTGTATCTGAGCAACTTTGATTAGTTACAAGTTATTTTATCTTATGTACTGTAGCTCACAGAAAATAAGATTGCATGAAAATATTAAATTTTTTATCTTGATTGCTATGAATTAATCCAAAAAAAAGGGGAATATGATACATTAAAAACATGGTTTTATGTCCATATGCCTTTTACTCTCTCCATAAACAAGTGTTTTAATATTCTTTGTTAAACTGCTCATTGCTAAGAAAGTGTAAGTGAAAATATTTCACAGAAGGTTATGTTGTTAGTTAGTTGAAGCATTAACCTTAAAGCTCAGTTAATGCTTTAACGGGTATTAACTTGTTTGACCCAGTGGAACGTGTATTCTTAGTCTTATTTTTATTGTTCTTTTCATTTTCCCAGTTAAAGGCTACCACATCCTGGAAGAGTGCAGTTTATTAGAAAATATGTTACTATGTTGTACGTTTGACATAACGTTTTTCTTTCGGAAATTTCTTAGTGACTGTTAATTGTATGTGTAAAAAGACACCATATAAATCAAATCTTTGAGGATCAAAGCTGGAATTAAAAAGCAACCTAGCTAGTAAATTTCAGTAACTCATCAGGGTACTAAAACAGTTATCTTTGAAGGTGTAAACACATAAGTTGTTGAAGTTAATGAAGGTATAATCAGAATTTTCTGTGTTGTAGCCATGATAAGGCACAACTACTGTTATTAAACTTTGCCAGTGGCATCCTTGAGTTTATGTAAAACAACTGTCAGGTTGCTAGTGACGTAATTAGATATGCAGATGCCTACTGTTAAATTATTATGGTCACAAGCACTCAGTTGGTACTACAGTCTTTGCAGCCCAATAAATGATCTGCAAACATTTGTCAGTAAATTATATAACCATCTTGGGCATTAAAACAAATCATATATCAATAAGAAAAGCTTAGAATTTGTGAATCAAGGAGCTGCTGGGGTAATGTGGGTAAATTTCACCATCTGTATTGCTTCCAGGGATTTGAATGAACACATGAGGAAGACATTTAGTAGCCCATGTTTCACTTCCAAACAGTATTAATGAAATGAGCATGCTAGTTAATCCATTCATTTGAAAGCTTTGTCTTCAAGGAAGTTGCTAAACAATTATTCATAGTTAGTGATTGTGGTATTATCCATCAGAAGAAAGTTTTAGCCATGTGCATCTGCATATGGCAAAGCTAATGGTTGTAAAACTACACTCTTATATTGAATACTGAACCCTGCCCAAACCATTATATATACATGTATTCCAACAAAGACTTTGGTCCAAAATATCTATACGTATCTCATAATTGGCTACAATATAGAGTTAAATTAATATCTGAATAAGACATCCACCCATATGTTGTTTGACCAATCCATACATACTTGACATCACTGAATACAAACTGTTTTGTAAGGATAAAATAGAGGAACCATGAGATAGGCCATCTAGCTATAAGGAAACCTGTTTCTGATTACTGGTGTATTGATTTGTCATTCAGGTGCTGCTCTGAACTGTTGATTCAATTGTAAACCTGGGGTGTGCAGGTTGCTTTGAGCCCATATTCCCAAACAGCAGTTACCTTTTGGGGTTGACAACAAAAGTCTACCTCATCCAGATCTCTTGCCAACTGCTATGGTGATCTGAAAATGAATATGCATCCTGCTAACCACTCTTTCTGCAATGACTTGTTATGTCTGACCAACTTTTAACAACTTGTTGCCCCCAGTGTCATGTAAATATTGCTCTGGAATGTTTAATATCATTATGGAGCCCTTTACACAGCACACTTATTCATAACATCGTGTGTTTTCTTCACTCACTGATACAACTGACATTTATATGTCAGAATAAATGATATTGGTTTTCTATGTAAATGAATTTATGGGAGACATTGACATATAATGACAGTAGTTGTGCCCTGTTATAGTTAGAATATAGAAAGCTGATTTTATATACTCCTTAATGTTTGGAATAATGTATTTCACTTCACTGTAAAGATACTGTGGAGCTCTTCAACAAACCAGAAAGTCTTGTTCTTTTCTAATGGTAGTTTATTGCTTATGAATATTATTTGAATGTTATGTATGGAAGTTAATAGTTTTTAGAAGTCTCATCATTCAACAGTTGATTCGGGCTACCTATTATTCTCATTGAGAAAGTTTCATGATTTTGTTTCCTCCTATTCCTCGAGAAGATCACCCTTGAAATCTGAAACCTACTGATTTTTGTTTTTCCATGTATTTATCTCCAATTTAAGTAAAGCTTGAGCTGTAAGGTCATTTACGTTGGCAAAACAAAACACCACTTAAAAACTAGAGTCCGTGAACATTTAGGAGTATCTAACAGAACCGACCATCCACTACTTAAACCCAACCACTGATCTATTCGTTCACATTCTGAAACCACGGATCACAATATTTCATTTAACAATTTCTCTGTCATTACTACAGGATCTTCAGACCTTGAACTCTACATTAAAGAAAGTTTACTCATAGCTAAAGACTGTCCTATTCTGAACGACTTACAAAGCTCTTTGGATCTAAAATTGTTTTAAATTTTCACACTTAAGCTCAACTGTTGTGTAATATATATATAATCATTATTTTATCCATCCGTTTTTGGCCTCTCTTAATGACTAAGTAAACTAGTGATTATTATATTATAATTTTAGTTGATAATAATCATCTTTGTATCACGATTTTCAGGTGGTGTGGAACCCAAACTTGAAGTCTCACCTGTGGCTGCTGTCAGCTGGCCAAGCTGGACTAGTTCGGATCACTTGTCTGCCTGGATTACATACCCCTTCAGCCAGTACCATCATTTCCAAGATGGAAACAGAAAAAAGTTGATAGATTTATGTGTATGTAGTGTGGCATTTCCGTTATGCATCCATACTTATACGCGAGGTATAGATAAATACATTCATGCTATTTTTAGCCAATCTGTTAATATTTTATGCATTCAGACTCTGATTTCAGACAAATTTCACCAGTATATGTACATTTTAAAATTCCTTGCCTTTGTTATTATAAAAAAAGCCTGTTTATCTAACAATGATTAGTGACTTCATCTAAAACATGTGGCCTAACTAAAGTCAAACAGATACCGGGAACCTGTCTTCAGCAGGAAAGAAACTGTATGTTTTAATTCATTATAATTTGAGTCTTACATCATTACTCTATGACACATCTCTTTGACCTTAGCCAAATGGTAATTTTATGTCTTGATTGAAATTAACCAATTTTTTTCAGTTAACTTTATTGCAACCTGTTGAGGTATTTAGTATTTTTAAAAAATCATAGTAAAAAAAAAACATTAATTCCTTGTTCTCAGGCACCTGTATTTTGAAAGTGTATGTGTTTTTTTTATCGGTAGGAATATTTGGGAGAAAGTTTTAATTGATTATATAGTTTAGTTTGTTTTTGTTTATTTTTGGGGGGTGGGAGGGGGTCAATGGGTGGTAAGAAGGATGATGCAAAAGAATAAAAATTAATACAGAAAGTACCTGAAAACATTTGCTTTTTATTATACTTTATGAGCATAAAACTTAATGTAAAAATTAACATTTAAGGAAATTAGTATATTATATGTTGACGTTTTCGGTAATGCTTGTTCATAATGCTAACAGTTCTATTAAGAGGGAAGGTTACCCAAAATGTAAAAGATTAGATCATAAACATTTGTTGATCATTGACATATATAACATGGGTTTAAATTTCTAAATGTATACAACAGTATTCTTTTCCGTTAGAATGTTATATGTTTGTTTTGCATATCGTGTCAAAAATAAAATTTTTATAAACTTTATGAAATTAGAGTTGAATTACTGAGTATTGACGATAATGTTAGCTAAGATATTTAAGTAAATTTTGAAAATGTACAAAATATATTGGAATACAAGATTTTTTATTCTTTATACTTGTTGCTATGTTGGCAAGTGTTTATATTTTAAAAAGTCAAATTTCTGTTTCAGGTTCTAAAGAAAAAGCAAATCTTTAAGATTAAATTGCTTTTAAAATTGTTTGAGCTTATTTACTGAATAAACTAATCTGATACACAATAATTCAGTATCTTACAAATACCACAATATTGTTTGAGTTACCAGTTATTGTTCATTTCATTTTTGTTCAAATGAAAATCTGAAGTTTGTATGGAGTGAAGTACTTTGATGGCTTGAAACTTCTAATGTTTTTTTTTCTGGGAAAATGTATAAAAATTATTTCTCGTTCATACAATTTTTTGTATAGTTATTTTCAGTATTGGTTTGAATGATGCTGCCAATTTGTATTGTGAAAAAAAATAAACTTATGTATAACTTGGTTACATAACAGGTTGTAAGATCTTCCAAATGTTTGAAACAGTGTTCGTGATATAAAAAAAAAAACCTATAGTAGACTTTATGATAGAAGGGTCTGTTTGTAGTGAGTTTTTCACTTTGCCACTAAATTGGTTAATTTCGTGTATGATTTTTAAAGTAAGCTGAACATGTATTACAGCAGACTTTGTTAATTCAGGTGAGGTTTCTAAACAATAATAATTTTAAAAAAGGAGAAAAATTGTAAGAAACAAAATATTTAAAAAATTCTAAATTATTTTATATCAAAGTGAGAATGTAGAATCTTGCATAGTGGGAACTACACAATTGGCTAACATACGTGGCTTAACCTGTCATGCACTCAAAAATTTGTGAATGGTAAGTTTTGTAGACAACTTTATATAATTACTTTAAATTACCATTTGCTGTTTTTTTTTACTGTGTAATCTGTATTTCTAGACTAAGTAATCCTAAATAATTTTAGCTTTCAATTCAAAAAGACTTGGAAAGGGGATTACTGATTACAACATAGCATGATATTTAAAATAATTTTATAATAATCCCTTTTAGGTATATGACCCCAGCAACTCAGCTTGAGGACTTATAATTTTGAATTCATAGTTCAATCCCTGCTGTTTTGTCGGTATAGATAACCCATTGTTAAATTTTGCACTTAAACAAATTTAACATATATCTGTTACATAGTTATAGTATGTCTTTCACTGTGGTATTCTAATGGCAACAGGTTTGAGAAGAATGTAAATAAGATCAAAATAACTATCCAGCCTCTGAATATTGTACCTGTAATAAGTTAAGTTGTGACGTTAGTAGTACAACTTTAATGACAACCTAAACCTATTTTTTCAAAGAATGTCTTTTTCAATGATTATTAGTTTGCATTCAGCAAATTCACTTTTCTACAAATATAAGTAGGTAGGTAGTTTTTTATGTTTGAAAGGCTACTACAATATGATGTATACTGTAGGTTTTCTTTTCTAATTGCACTGTGCAATGTACATAATGTAAATAAACTTTTTTTTTATCATATGAAAGTTCAAAGTTTTGCATACGTACAAACTGAAAATTTAAGTTCTGCTTAAATTCACATCAAGCAAACTTTGAAATATTCAGTTGTTAAGCATGGTATTGAAGGTGTGTGTACTTTTTCCTGTTAGTGGATTTTTTTATTGTATATTTGTCTAGTTCTGTTTTGAGATGCAAATTAAGTAAAATGCATATATCTGTAATTGAATTTCATTACCCTTGTCATTGTTGTACCTTATACAAACAGTTTAAAATTTGACAGAAAACTAAGATGTTTATCACGGTTAATAAGGCTGCCACATTCAAAAATTGTATATCATTCGAAAAGTGTTGTATAAGGAAACTTTCTTTCCAATACACAGACGATTGTTTAGCCTTAAAGATTAATTTTACCAAATTCAAGTGGTATTAACGTTCAGTATCTTGCTAACTAAGCTTCCGAAGTATTTTTGTCAGTCATACAGTATCCTTATATTTCCTATGGTATCATTTAACGACTTCCTGCTTGGAAAGACTTGATGTACATCTAAAACGACATCTTACCATTATTTTGTAATAATTTCCTTGTTTCAAATAACAATTTGATTAAACGAAATGTGTAATTGAATTGCTTTTAACTTTTTGTAAGTAATTCGGCAGTCTGGTTATTTTGTAACTTAAGCTTTTTGCTAAAGCTTGTTTTGTTTGTTTATGTCTACAGTGGTTCATTCCCATTCTTTCATTCAGTTTCCTCTAGATCTAAAGTAAGAAACAGAGATAACTTTAAACCTTTCAAAATGTTTCCAAGAAGATACATACAAGATCAAGTTTGAAAATATGTTAGTAACAGGTTTCACACGCATATTGTTTTCAATAAAATAACAGCAGATGAGTACTAAATTTTGTGCTTTAGGCAAGATAGGAAAAATTGTAGTAACAACCAGTTTCTCATCAGTACTGCCCCTCAGTGGCTCATTGGTAAATCTGAAGAGTAATAATGATAAATACTGGGTTTTGATACCCATGTTTGGCACGGTGCAGGTAGCATTATGTTTAAAAACATATGTAACAGTATCTGCATTTAGAAATTGTCACTGACCCTTTTTTTTTATATTTCAAAGTTAAAAATTTCTGTGTCCATTTTGAAGTACTACCTCTAAAAAGACATGATTGACAATTTTTTTTTATCTGATGTCACATAGTAACAAGGTTAACATTGCAGATGGTGTTCAGATGTGTGTGTAATAGTAAGATCTTCAGAAAGAAAAACTTTCTCTCTGGTTTTTGAAAATATCTGATGGGAAGTCGTGAATATCTTCTTGTCTGGTGTTATATAACCATCCAAATTCAGTAAGATAAGAATGTTTGTTTTTACTTATTACAAACAGATTTATAAACACATTTACACAAAACTGATATTTGGCATATACCTAAAGTATGATAAGAGAGGAATGTGTTTCGTGTGATTTAAACTCCCACAGTGTTACACTAATTTTTTTGTGTGAAAGTAAAGTGATTAATTAGTTGTGTCGTAGAAACTACTAAATACTTTTTAAGGCAAAGGGGCAATTTTGGCATGAAAAATTAAACAGTTGCCAGTTAAAACTGTTAGCAGTTTTTGTAAGCCAGCAACTGGCAACTGTTAGCAGTTTTTGTAAGCCAGGAATAATTAATGAAATGTGCAATTCCCACTGACTTCATCTATCCACAGATAGCTTGAAGCTTTAGAAAGTATATAGATTAGTATTTGTAGTAAATCCTTTTTACATGCTCAAAATTTGAGGCATGTAGTTCAGTCATCAGACATTTAACTGTAAACCGAGTTACATCTTTACTCAGACAATATATAATTTCATGTACAGTAAAAAATGCTCTTTGCACCTTTTCATTGAAATCATTTCATGCTTTCTTGTACTGTACCATGTGTTTTTTTTTTATGTAAATCTATTTTAAGAAGAAAATGTTCCCTGTACTTAAACCCTACAGTTCTGTAGCTTGTTCACATTGTTTGTGTACTCTTAATAAAAAGTTATTAGTTTATATGATGGTTAATATATGACCTTTCAGTATAAATCCATGATCTATATTATTTGTTATAATTAGTATATAATATTTAGTTTAACGACAGTTATAGCTGGTTACCAGAGGAGTTGGTTTTGTTTTGTTTTTTACACCTGAAACATACAACATCTCTGTATGGTCATACGTGAACTTTAAATGAATGGTACTGAAGAATTGAGTGTTCTGAGAATGAAGTGTCGCAGACCTTTTACTAGTTCCTGTAGGCCAGAATTGAATATTTTTTTCTGTATTATAGTACTGTAGTTTTGTCTTACAATATGAATACATACAGTGAAAATGTAAATATTTGTATGTGAAGTTCCACCGTAAGAATGCTTATTTGTTATGTTCTTATGTGTTGTTGATTTTTGTCTAGCATTTTGAGAGCTGTGTCTAATGAACATTGTTCTAGATTCATTAGGGTGTACTGCTTAATAAATGTAGTGTGACATATATTTTGCAGTGAAGAGTTCCCTCAACTTTGGATTTATGAATGCATTATTAGCATGTTATAAAGAAATGTTTGTGTTTTTCTTTCTCAGTTGCCTTATACCCAAATTTCCTTGATGCAGTAGCCACACTTAAAATTTTTTTAATCAGCAACTGTCTTTATTATAGATAACCAAGTCATAAATCTGTATGGAAATGAACTATTAAAAGACAGATCTTTAAGTGATTTGAAATGAGCAAGGAAACACTCGGTTCAAGTTTTGTAATGATGTTTTATAACTTCTATTCAATCTTAAGAAAAGGTAAAAATCTGTATATAGCTTATTATCTCATTCTTTTTTTTTTCTTCTTAAAATCAGTAAGTAATAAAACCAATTACTGGTGTTTTATTTGCTTATTATTACTCCAGCTGAAAAACTCGTTTGCTGAAGGATGTCTTAGCAGAGATTTTTTTTTTATATAATGAAACTGAAATATTCATTTGAAGCTTGTATTATGCTGTATATCTGCTATCTTAATGTCTTCACTGTATTTCATGGAGATATCATGTATTTCTTTTTTGATAAACATGGGAAAAAATACACATTTAATTTATTTTTTGTAAATAATTTCTAATTGCTTGATATTAAAATTGTCAAAAAAAAGTGTCCAGTTTATTTCCTCCTCCTCCTTCAAACTGCGTGATGTACTACTTGAAAATCTCATCAGTTCAACATAAATGATTAATGCATTATAGAAATAAAGATTACTGTACTCCAAATTTTTTGCTACATTAAAACAAATCCAATCCATTGTTTTCAATGTTGATAAAATGAATAATGTTATGTGAACGTGTATTGGACACGGTGATCAAAGCACGTATCCGATTAATATTCGGTACATTTTGAGCTTGACCCTATAGATTTTGGGAACCAGGTTTTAATCTGTGCTATACCACTAAATATTCCCCACACTTTAAGCTGTAGTTGTGTTATAACAGTGTCCCTTAGGATGGGTGGTAGGGTAATTCTCACTGACCACCTTCCCTCTGGTCATTAGTTCAAAATTGGGGACAGCAACAAATAGCCTTATTAGCTTTGCCATAAATACAAATACAGTACATTTTATATTTGTTTCCCAAACAGCAAATCAACTAAGTTTCATCTCTACAGCTTTACCTTCAGTGTTTTGATATGCGTAATGTTGCTGTTTTGTACTATTATATCCACGTTATACATTTCCTGATGTATCACTGCCATAAAAGTGTGATTTTGCTACTTCTAACACAGTGTCATTTACAAGCTTGTAATGTTGCATTCACTACGTTCTCTTTAAACTCTTGTGTGGTTACTTTTCTTTAAATTAGAATTTATTTCTGCTGTTATACTATTTCAATAACCATAAAATGTTTTACACGATAATTCAAAAACTATCACATTATGTGGGAAAGAAGTTATTTCTGGAAATATTTCAGTAATGTGATATAGTAACTCTGGTTAATGTTAAGAATGTTTATTTTCTCAAAATGTTGTAATGATATGATTTAGCAACTGTGGTTAACATTAAGAATGTTTATTTTCCCAAAACATTTCAGTAATGTGACTTAGCAACTCTGATTAATATTAAGAATGTTTATTTTCCCAAAACATTTCAGTAATGTGACTTAGCAACTGTGGTTAATGTTAAGAATGTTTATTTTCCCAAAACATTTCAGTAATGTGACTTAGCAACTCTGGTTAATGTTAAGAATGTTTATTTTCTCCAATACATAGCTATGTACAATCACACATGCATTACAATTAAAAAAAAAAAACATGGAGCCTATTGTATGTTTTCAATACAGTTAATTTTCTTCTTTTACCAGAAATTATGATCCATTAATACAGTTGTAAAGAGAATTTTAAAATACATAGTATGCTCAAGAATACTAAGTTATGTCGAAACAAATTTATTTAATTGAAAGCAACAAATCATAACTTTTTCTGCATTTGACAAACTTTTATGCTTGCTTATGAGGAAAACTGGAATGGATCTTATATTCAAAATAAATGAATTGAAATACAGGAAATGTTCTTTCAAGGAACAACACACCTTCGTTACGTACTCCCCTCTATAAAACAAATTAATCCTTGCTTTCAACATTTTTACTGTACATTCTATGTAGATAAAACATTACACTGCAAATATGATAGGGCATTTCAACAAAACAATAGAAATATCTATTACTAGATACTTATGACAGTATACAAGTAGTTTATTTAAGAGTCGAAGTGACTTGAAAAATTAATTGAACATCTAAACAAAAACTTGCCCATTTTTTATACTGATTACAACAGTAAAATACTGATAATAATACATTTTGGAATTAAAATATAGGAAACTGATTTTATAACCTCATAGGCAACAGTAGTGTTATAACTATTATCACAGCTGACATTATTAACAGATGTAGTAATACTACTACTGTTTTGCCTGATGCTGCAACATTTTACTTGATATATATATACAAATTTATAAAGTAGAAGATACAATGAATATTTTAGTGGATTTTTTTTTTCACATTCAGTATGTTACAAAATTATAAACTAATTGTATCTAATGTTTTATAATTTCCACCATATTGTTATACTGGATATATGTTATTGCAAATGTAAGGATGTTGTAAGTATATTCTTGTTTTTTATATGAATGAGCTTGTGATTGGTGTTTCTACTTGATTTGTAATTAATAACCTTTTTTAATTATTTTTTTCTCAGTGAGCTTCATTAAATCTTATTGGCTATAATGTTAGCAATAATTTTGCATTAATTTTTTTTAATTATAATTACACTTGTGGTTATTATTTTGCATTGTTGTCTTAAAGTGTAGATTTAGGACTAACCTAATCTCCCAAATCAGCTGGATTATATATATATAATATTGCCACAAAATACCCAAATGATGGTCGAATGTAATCTAAATGTTATAGGTTGTAGTTTCTTTTTTATGTAATTATTTCCAAGATTGTTCATTTCTTGTCAATTTTTAATAAATTTTGTAAAATTCTTTGCACTTTTGTGTGTGCTAATTTTTTTATCAGAATTGTCAATTTTTATACCAGATTGTTTTCATTAATATGTTATTTTGAATCATTAATTTTGATCTATATAGTTGGCTTACTGTTTATCACAAGTGTTTAATTACATTATTCATATAATTACTTCTTTTTCACTTTAAAATTAACTTCAAGGTATAGCTTGTAAAGTTTAAAATGCATAATTTTATTTTATTAAGTTGTTGGTACTGGACATTGAATATTGATCAATAATTATATTAATCTTAATTTTCTGTAGCCACTTAGTTTATTTTTTAAGCTTTTGTGGCTAACAGTACAAAAAAATTTAAACATCAACTGTGTATTGTAAGCTTACAATACATAGAACTTTTTTTTACATTAATTCTGTATGTAAATTCACAAAAATTAATAAAAAATTTGCAATAAATGGTTTACGTTAACTGGTCCCCAACTACTATTTTTTTTTTATCAATACCACTTAATAATAAGACCAGAAAGCTAGGGTTATGGGAGGTAAGTGTTGATGACAACAGCTTTGTTTATTTACCAAGAATAACACCACTTTGGGAAGGAAATACAACATTACCAATAGCTAGCTGATTACGTGTTTAATCATTGAATGCAAACAAAATCTGCCCTAAACTGTTCTCAACATGTAATAAAGGGAAGTTGTGGGTCAGAAATTGGGGATGAGTTACGGGCCATCTAAAGGGGGTTGAAAGATTATACAGGGAAAACTTTGGTTTCTTCTACATTCTTGTTATACAGTAAACTATATTTACATAAAAATTTCAATAATAACCTTCAAGACAAATAACATAAATTTTTTTATAACTACACTAAATCAAATACAGTATAGGTACAACATACATGTACAATGAGTAATAGTAAACTTAAGACAACGAAGAAACAAATTTAATTTTTTAAAAATGCTTACTTTACTTAGATTTATGTGACGCAATATTATCTGTTCATATATCATTTTCATGGGTATTTCAATGTCTTACTTTAACATGTTATAGAAGTATATTGTTATGCATTAAGTTATAATTCATTTTTTCCTTACTGGTGTTCAGATTTAAAAGATACCATGGAAACTCAGTTCTGTAAGTACTCAAAGGTGATGTTGCACACCGCTGGTAAAAAGCTAAGCAGCCAATTTCTCCTGCATTTATTATATCCAACCTTTGTTTTTTCTTTTTATAATCATGATCTTAAGAACCATGATACTTGTGTATTGATCAGTGACCTCTGAGGAATGCATGGGAGCACATTAAAACACTTTCCACTGTCATGTGCAGGTAGGCTACATGTTTTCTACCTCATTGCTTAACATATACTTTAATCAAAATGAATGTTTACGTTTCCAACACAGAACAGTGGTTATAAAAGTTGCCAAGTTCTGTTCATCCTAGCTACCTATTTTTCTGGGTCATTCACTTGTGGTATTGCAGGTAATTTCTCATGGGAAAGATTTCTGAAGGTTCAACTTTCTATGCAGATATGGACAGTTATCTCTTTCACTGACAGGTCAGGTGTTGCCATATGGATGTAAACTCCCTCATTTTTCAAAGGGAATGACCAATGTTGATGTAGTAGTGCACATCTGATAAGGATGGCATTTTAGAATTTTGTATATATATATATAATGCTATGCTCTCTCTGAAACTGAAAGTCTCAGTTTGGTAGGTTAATTTATTTGTTTCAATGGTAAAATACTTTCTTAAGTTTAATCATTAGTTAAATAGTTGTTCATAAACCTTTTAACAAGTTTTTTAGGAGAATTTACAAATAACTATCCATCAGATGCGTTGTCTTTTGTCTCGTACATTTGTTACTTTTGATAGAATTTTGTGCATTGAATAAATGTTGTTTCACTATATTTTACATTGTGTCCTGTCTCTTTCATTCCTCAAACTTGGTAAAAGTCAGAGAATTTAGATTCACTCTGTAATATATTTTCTGTCAGATTTCCATTTACTCTGCTGAATCTACCTAATTACTCTTTAGAGGAAACCAGTCTTTTTCTCAGCCTTGCACTTATTCCATTTAATGATGCAACTGGAACATTGCATTTTTTTTTAATGTTTTTACTGTACTTTATCAATTTGAATACAAAAAGTCATAGAAATACTATATAAGAAAAATTATTACAACAAATTATGTCATTCTAATCATTTCCAATCTTTTTAGGTTTAAATAGAATGGAAAATATGATGCTTTTTTGTCATTAATTACTCTATAAAAACATTCAAGCATATATTAGTAAGCCACTGGTTATTACAATAAAGATAACATTTTTTATTTTACTTAGACAAAATGTTATTGGGATTTATAACCATCATGAATAATGGTTGGAAAGTGCTTAAAATGATGCTGTTACTTACATACAGGAAGATTCTAACAACATTAACCCACTTAATATCAAATCTATTAATTTTATTCCCTAATATTCAAAACTAAATACACAAACATTTTTTGTTTTTATTTTACTAATGACAGTTACATTCTTTATTATTTTTGAAAGTTTACTTGTGTATAATGATTTACACTCTTTTGAAAAATTATGGCAATGGAAAATAACACGAACTAACCTATTTGACTATTTTTTGCACATATACCTACAAAAAATGTATTATGTCCTGTAACAACTTTCTACACCAATTTTTAAATGTGCAAAATCCCAAAATAAATTACTTCTAGCACAAAACAGCTGTGAAATTCCTATAAATATAAAATTAAACACTTAATACTTAATGGTTTTTTTTTATTTAAACTATGACACCATTTTTGAAGACATGAAAGTGTGCAAATACATTAAGTAGTAATTAACATCAATGAATGATCCTAAAGATAATCAAATGATTAATTTACTTGTGACAATGCTCTTTTCATAGCAACCAAATGCACATATAGAACAGCAACTCACCCTGGTGATTTAGAATTAAAATAAAAAAAAGGCTTTATGATTTCTATGCAAATATTTCCTTGTTTTTCCCTTTTTCAGACGAGTTATCTTTTGATCCCTTACTATCACCTACAATGTAACTTCCTTCATCTTTTTTTTTCATCCGGTAGACAATGAACATTACCATTAGAATGATACACATTAGTGCTATAACTGCACCTCCAATAACAGCTAGAAGAAAATTAAAAGATCTGATTTTATAATCTTAAGGTATTATTTAATGTAAAGAGGGAAAAAGAAATTCATTTGAAAAGTTCTTCAATCAAAGATTGCATCATAATATTTGCCATAACAATTTTAAAAATTAGAAGGTACTCTTTAATTATTGTGCTTTACATACATACTCTTTTTCTATTATTTTTAAAACATTCATTTAAAAGCTGCATTTGTCATAATTTCTAAGTAATAGTAATAAGCTATAAAATTTGTATTGAAGCTGGACTTAAAACAGTCTCTATGTATCAAAATCAATTTAATACTAGGCAAACTAATTTAATACTCAAGATATGACTGATTTATCAAAGTTAATTAATATTCCTTTAAAGAACTATTTTATGTTTAATTAAATATAACAATATTAAAAAATATTTTAACATTTCTGTTCATTTGATTTTTAATAATTGTTTACTTCTTTTTTTCCTTAAAAGACTAACTTTTTAAAAGTCAATTCAATTATATCTACTCAAAAAATAAAATTATTTAATAACTGTTTATTTTATACTGCCAGATTCTGTTACTAATTATTGGTAGAGAAAATATGTTTAAATCTCTCTAAAAAAAACAAATAAAGATACTTTTTGTGTAAATACCAAGTTTAGAGCCAAATTTAGTGTGTTTGTGTTATGATACAATTCAGTCAAAATGCTATTGCCAACAGATACATCAACATTTTTAGGTAGTATTAACTTGATTTATTACATAATTAAACTAAATGATTCAGTTATTAATTAAATTCACTTGAAATATTCCTTTAACTAATTATGCCTCTCATAAGACATGAGCATTAGGCCTAATATGATTTTAAACACTACCTTCTTTATCTAGTCCCTTAGGGATTTTGAAAAATTAGAAGTGTATAATAATAGTATTTCAACCACACTATCTGTCATATCCACTGCCAATGACATGAATCTCTCAATTCAGACCGGCTGAGATACTGAAACATAACGTGGTCGGACCACTAGTTATATAGGCTATTTATTACAACAAGAAATTTTAAAGTGTGAATGACTTTTACAAGTTGGTGAAACATGATTATAATAAGGCCTAATGCTAATGTCTTATGACAGGCATAATTAATTACAATCATGCTTTGCCAGCTTATAAAAGGCATTCACACCCTAACAATTGTTGTTGTAACAAATAGCATAAAAAAAATAGTTTTCCAATCATTACTGTGCTTGTTGTATCCCAACCGCCTGAATAGCTCTGGATTGAGTGAAATGCATTGTCAGCAGTGGATATGATGGATATAGTATGGTTGGAAAACTATTATTATACACTTTTCTAATTCTTGAAAGTCCCTAAGGGACTAAATACAGAATGTCGTGTTTAAAAACATATTAGGCATAATTCTAATGTCTTGTGACAGACATAATTAATTATAATCATTCTTTGCCAGCTTGTAAAACATGTTCACACCCTAACAATCATTTATAAATGTTGTAAAAATGTTAATACTAAGTCTTGACAATCATCTAAAGTTTCTTTCCTCATTTTAACTCCTTCAAGATCTACAGCTAGAAAAAACGTTTGCCAATTGTTTCAATGGGTTACAAAGAAAACTTTATTACGATGTAACATAGTAACATATGTACAATGTTTCAAAAAGGTACCTGATTATGATAAAACCTTGCTGAAACATTGTACATTTGTTAATATGTTAAACTTGCAATAAAGTTTTCTATCATACCAAGACAAGCCATCTCCAAACGTTATTACTTATAAAGTGGATTTCTCATCTTCAAATTTAAATTCTGCTGCTAACAGGAGAAAGAATAAATGAAGCTGTATAAAACTTACAAGCCAATATTCCAGGTTGTGCAAAGAATGATGAAGAAGTTTCCTCTTGCATATGCCCCAAGATGTGAATATCATTATCCTCCCAGCTTTCATCTGGACTTTCCTTTCCCCCAGGTACAGGAGGAGCATTATTCATTTTTCTTATTTCAACATCAGATTTTGTTGGTTTTAAGATGTTAGGGATGTGATTTTTATGATCTGGCTGAAAAGTTGTTGTAACCTTGATCATTGGCTAGAATTTTAAATAGCAATAAAAATATAAAACAAAATACTCTCAGAATACTTATATACACCTGGAAAAAAGTTAAGCACCCCCAAATATTTTTCAGGATTGCTTATT